GGTGCCCCAAGACAATGGAGTTGGACCCAGTGACCAGTCAGTGCCGTGTTTGTTTCATGTATACATACTTGCTAAGTCTTGAAGGGAAGGCTGTAGCTCAAGATGCCACACGGACTGGTTATGAATATCACTTGAGGCCTTTTGCCCATTGTAATTGGTGTTGTTTACTATTTAAAGCAGTTACCCATTGTAAGTGGTGTTGTTTACTATTTAAAGCAGTTAGGAGTGAGGATAACACAAAGAATATGAAATCAGAGCCAGCATAGAATAATCTTTGACTAAAATCCGGCTATGACAAGGCAAAAGAGAATCAAGAGATCGTGTGACTAAAATCTGGCTATGACAAGGCAAAAAAAAAAAATTGAGAGATCACTCTTTAATTAAGTATTGAGTCCACATCATGATACATGTGTTGTGTTTTACAGATTTAGTTACCAAACTTACAGTCAGTCTACAACTAACCACTACTACTGACAGATTGCACTGACAATCTTGCTCTTGTCTGTAGAAGCAAGGATCATGTCTCAAACTCGGATGAGCCTGCCTCTAAAAGGGCTCGTACTGATGTCAGCATGGCAGACCTGGTTGCGACGGCAACAACAAAGGTAAGCAGAAGCTTTAAACGGACGCCAAAGGCAAATAGCAATTTACCTATGTAGGAGTGAAAGCTCGGCGTTAAAGAAGGTCTACACTGTCAGTATCATCAACAGCAGTGCTCTGCTAGTCGAGAAACTAAGATAAACGTAGGACACAATTTGCGCCCTTGAGTGGGACATTTTGAGGCGACTCCGGTGACATGAAGAACCTTGAGTACAATTAATCACAAGTAATCAGAATCATCATGATAGAAAAGAAACATTCCATGCATTATAAGATATAATTTGAATGCCACTCATGTGTCTGATTCATGGAAAAAATGACTTCTTGGCGTTATGGAGAACGACCCGGGTGGCCTAAAAGCTCCATTTTCACCAGGTTAGGCCCCACTTACACAATCGCATCTTAAATGTCTCTTTCCATGCTGCTGCATGTGCTTTGCACGCTCATGAAAATCGCTCAACAAAATCCCACAGCAAAATCCCATGCCCGAATGGTGTATGCAGCTAGAGCTACTGCAAAGAAACCGACGTTTCTTTCCACTGGCCCTACACTCAGTGCCATGCCTCGAGACCCGTAGCGACAAACTTTGACGGTTGTTGCTGCTGTGGCTCTCATTACCTTTGCACTGCTGCTGCTGGCCAAGCTGAGCGCCGTCTCATATCAGTCGATGGCATTGATGGCTACCATTTTGCTGTATGCGCAAGAAACTGCAGCATTAGCTGCCAGGCAGTAAAGGCAAACACTGTTTGGCAAGGCAACTGTTGAGTCTTCAGGCAGGCGAATTGAAATGTGGTAAGACTGCGCAGACCTCTAAAAAAATTCTTTTCTTTCAAATTAGGCACTTCCTTGGCACGAAAAAAGCACTGAGATGTTTTTGGAACGCTATTTGAACAATCAAAGTCAACTTAGCATTTGCGTTTAGTGTCCCTGTAAATATTTATAATCGCGAGTCATACAGATACCGTTGATAGAAAATGTCAATGCGTTGTGCTGTACAGGAGTATATGCTATACATTATAAAAAATAAAATCGGAACTTGAAATTTCAAAGCAAACATTTGAAAGAGCAAATTTAGAAGCATATAGTAATGTAGTTGATAAAACTAGATCAGAAACTTGTTTTCACCATGGAATTTCTTATTCTGTCACTAGAGTTCTCTGCAACACAATCCGACAGTTGGCCAATCATAATTTGATTAGACCTGTGGCAGATATTTATTGTAGCATCAGTACTAACTTATATGTTGCTATGATTTTTTACAATGCTTCTAGCAAAGCAGTGGTTGCAAAAATTTTACATTGTATGCGAAATGGAAGTGTTTAGTACGTTACAAGTGTATTCCTTCTTTATTCAAGGTTGATGTGGTGAACCCTGTAGAGGATTTCAAGAAACTAGTCTCTGGCAAAGATCACTCCTACTCAGACGGTAAGTGGCATAGCTTGAGAAGCATGACAAAATGTTCATTGGCTACTCGGAAGCGTATCTGCCACCTGTGAGTATTCAATTTATGAACAAGAGGTGAAAGGCAGGTTGATTGGTACATGTCCCAAAGAAGGAATTAAAACGCCACTTTTTATAAAATTTCCATAGACACAGCGAGAGGTAGGATGGGTAGAGGTAAAGCATGAAGAAAGAATACCACATATGAAACACATACACACTTTTGTATAATGATTGCCCCTTTAAAACCGCACACAGGCAGCAGAAAGAGCAAATACTGATAAATGACTCATAGTTTCCAAATCACCTGGAGATTTCGTGATACTGCTGTTGCCACACTCGCTTGACTGAGGAACTTATCTGTGTACTTGTTCAAATCAGGTACACACTTATTTTTTTTCTCTTTCTATGTAATGTAGGACATGTAAAAATTATTCATTACTCAAATAATTCTGTCGTAGAAGCATATAATTGCAATAGAAGCCAATGCTGCTGGAATTACCTTGCTGCACGCAACTTTTGTGCCTTGTCGTCTTTCCAATAGTCTGTGAGCAGCTGGAAGGAGTCATTTTGAAGTTGTTCAAGGATGCCCTTGGGAGAGCAGCTCATGGCAAAGCAGTGCAGTGCCTTCGAGCGTACCGGGAATCTGCACTTGAGGTGTGTCATCTGTTTCAACCTACTTTTGAAAATAAATGGTCATGTTCAAGCTACCGTTGAAAGAATAAGCGAGTCATTTATAAAAAGCTCTTCTAGCTCGTTTATGCTAATATTTCTTGCAGAAGTGTCATTTTGTGGCTAGTTTCTGTAGTATCATTGTTTAGTTTAATATAGTTTAGCATTTGCATGTGTCGTCAAAAATAAATAAAACCCACATTTTCTAGCAGCAGGGTTGAAAAAGATTTTGTATTTCTGACCGATAGGCCATCTTCCTCAGTAACAATGAAATTATGTATGTGTCTTATGACAGTCTGCATTCCCTCACTGTTTAGCTATATCGCACGGCTTTGACAATTAAAATTTAACCTTCTTGTTTTTTTATTTAGAAATCCAATCCCAACATGTTTAACACATTCCTGAAGAAACTGAAGGAACTGTACAGTGGGGACCAGGATGACGTTTGGAATCTATTAGCAAAAGGTGAGCATACGTGTAACTCGATCAGCAGGGCTTGCTTCGAAGCAGCAACTGAAATGCCACACAGCTGAATCAACGACAGCACTTTCTTTCTGTTAGTGGAATCCTTTGCCAACATTGCTTTCCGTTGTGGGTGGACAGGCAACGAGAACGTAAATGTGGCCCTATAATTAAAGCTGACGCAGTCTTTCAAATCACATCAAATCATTTTTTATTTCCCAGAGGAAAGACAGGTTTTGGAGAGGTTCATTGGCTAAAAGCTGTTTATAGACAGCTTGAGCTTGACGAGGCCAGTGAACCCTATACAAGGCAGTTGGGACGATGACAAAGATGTGTAAAATAAGCTAATGTTACAATAACCAAATACAGTGCAAGGAAAACATATATTACATTGCTACGAAAACATACTGACACTAAACATAGCACATAAGATAGTTACATGGACGCGTATGTTTCTCGTTGCATTTTATCTATTATCAGAGAAGTCTTCATTCATTACAGAGAAATCAGCATGATGTGCCTATCATATTTCTGTGCTGGTTTGTTGTTTTCTAATAGTACCCTTCTCTCAGGTCGTCATGTACAGTAGCACGCACTAATAAAGGGAACACTCTGATGAGCAGCTGTTATATTGCAGGCCCCATAACTGCAAGTAGATATAGAAACATTGTTTGTGCACGGCACTAGTCTATCAAAAGGAGTCAGCACAGTGAAGCAGCGGTAGTCCTGTGCAAATCTAGGCCCCTATGCTTTTGCCAGAGAGCGAAATACGGACATGGTTCTCATGAAAGTGTACCTTTTAACTGTGAACCCAACTGTCCCACTCACCTGAATGGATTGTGTTCAAGTTATCTTGACTTTAAACCATTTTTCCTGGTTTTTACACTATTCATACTACTGTCTTACATGCAACAGAAGGCATCCTGCGCTTTGTAGCAGCCATTACCCCTTGTCACCTTAGCATGCATCAGACATTAGCATGCGTTTTTGTTTCTGGTCGGCCGGATAGAATAAAATGGTTTGGTGGCAGGTGCCACGGAGCCTTGAGTCTGCTAAATATGAGAAAATCTATAAACGTTCATTGGCTGATCTAATTACATAGAACATAACTTTCTCATCCTTCATTCTGTAAATCTAAATCTATGATGACCTCTGTCACCAGCTGTGTCAAATATTGTCACGATGTGTGTGTTCATTTCCTGTATGCAGAAGCTGTGCCTCCAATTGCAAAGAAGGAATGCAATCGAAGCACATGGCCAGATGGTGAAGTGGAGAATTTCTACGCTACTGAGAAGCAAAATGCAGACAAAGAGGAACAGCCTGCAAAAGATGAAGATGACCTTGTGAGTATTTACCGTTTGGCTCAGCCAGGCTTGTTAGACTCGGTTGCAAGGGGCATCCTCTTCTCGAACAAGTATTAAAAACTAATCTATGTCAATTTAGACATCACAGTCAGCAATTTTTTAGTCAACGAGACAATTGCATCTATTTGCAACAAGGTGGGAACTACCGTGAAAACATCATCTTTGTTGTCAATATTAGCAAGTATTTTTTGCTTATTAGTGTCAGTGCAAGACGTTTGAATAACTAGACCAGAGAAGTGATCGCATGGGCTACTTGGCGAGGTTTATTTAAAAGTGTACAGCACAAGGGTGTCTGTTTATGTTGTCAAATTGGTGCTGTATGTACTTGAAGCCAAGAAAGAGTGCTTCAGCAGTTTGCTTTGGTGTCAAGGCTCCAGATATGCATTATCAGATGCACCTGTATTAAATGCGAGTTTTTTTGTCTCTTTGCAGTTGGACATGATGTAAAGATGGACAGCAAAGGAAAAAAGAAAACACGTTTATTTGTTAGGCATAAATAGCAACAATTGCCTCGGTTATAAGGAAAATAAAAACAAAAACAAACAGCTGATAGGGCTTGTTGTATATTACAGCGATGTGATGTATAGATGACATCATCATTGCTGCTACTTTTCCCCGGCTACACCTCGGCTTGCTTCTCCTTGAGCTGTTCTTTGGTCTCGGCGTCTTTTACAAGCCGCAGGTAGTCCTTGTACTTGATCTTCTGTGGGACAATATCTGTGGACAATGGTTTGTAGCAGCGAGTGTTACTCTAAGTTGTAGTTGTTCTGTGTGGTTTAACGTCCCAAAACCACCATATCATTATAAGAGATGTCGTAGTAGAGGGCCCTGGAAATTTCGATCACATAGTGTCCTTTAATGTGCACCGAAATCTGAGCACACGAGCCTACAGCATTTTCACTTCCATCGAAAATGCGGTCGCCGAAGCCGGAATTCGATCCCGCGACCTTTGGATCAGCAGCCGAGTACCTTAGCCACTAGACCACCACGGCGAAAGAGTGTTACTTTAAGCTGTAGAGATTTTCCTCTCTTGCACTTTGTCACTTTCATTTCGACAAAGTGCTCTCTCATAAATATACCGTAATTGGTACAGCTAGCTTCCTCAGCAGAAGCGACAGAGTCACTTTAGCAAGCGGCATGTACGGTCGGAAGTTGTCTAGAGTTGTCAAGCATGTGGCAGTGGATTGTGGCACCGTCCACAGCTGCTCTATCAGCTTCTGGTTATGCTGATATATAGAGTAAGGAACTAGCATGCAGTGTGACTATGTTTTTGTCCCACAATAATAATAATCTATCTTATATTATTTTCCTTGCATTATTGCCACACGTCCAGCCTTTTCAGGTCATAAACGACATGCATGCCATCAGCACGACGTCATTCTTCAAAGAAAGGTGGCCAGTGTAGAGTTTTCAAAAAAGAAAACGCCACCTAGCCAGATCCCAATTATTGTTGTGAAACAATAAGACTCTCTTATTACTCTATGAGTGCACGATGTCGGTGGCTTTCGCAAAAAAACGGTGGCTCATGTGGCAGACTGTCTGCTCTAGACAAGTGCGATTCCGACTGTACACCTGGCAAAAAACGAGTTGGTTTACATCATCACCAGCTTGACTACACCCACTGCAAGGCAAAGGCCTCTCCCGTAATCTGTCAATCAAACCTGGTCTTGTGCTTTCTGCTGCCATGTTATGCCTGTGAACTATTTGATCTCATGGGCCTACCTAACTTTCTGTCTCCCCTTCGTGCATTTTCATTCTCTAAGAATCAAGTCAGTAACCCTCAATAACCAGCGGTTATCTGCCTCCGTGCTACGTGTCCGCTCTATGTCCATTTCTTCTTCTTGATTTCAACTATGATACCCAAAACCCTGGTTTGTTCTCTGACCCACTCTGCTTTCTTCTTGTCTCTTAAGGTTACACCTATCCTATTCCTTTCCATTGCTCAATGCGACATCCTCAATTTAGGTTGAACCCTCTTTGTAAACATCCAGGTTTCTGCTACGTAGGTAAGCACCGACAAGATGCAGCTGTTATATACCTTTCTCTTGAGGGTTATTGGTAGATTAGCATTCATGATTTGAGAATGCTTGCCGAATGCGATCCATGGCATCCCAGTTCTTCTAGTTAATTCACTCTCATGGTACAGCTCCGCGGTTACTAGTTGTCCTAAGTAGACATATTCCTTTACAACTCCCAGCATCTCTCCACCTATCACAAAGCGTTGTTTTCTGCCAAGACTGTCTCACATTACTTTAGTTTTATGCATATTAATTTTCAGACCTACTCTTCTGCTTTCAGTGTCCAGTTGTAATTGTGTTTATCTTAATGAGCTTTTATTTGTCCCCTTAGTTACTCATCAAAGCAGTATTATCAGTGAACTGCAGGTTACCAAGACACCCTCCATTAGCTCTTATCCCTAACTCTTCTCAATCTAGGGTCCTGAAAACCTCCTGTAAACACGCAATGGCATTGGAGAGACCGTGTCTCCTTGCCTTATACCCTCCTTCATTGGGACTCTGTCGCTTTCTTTACGGAGAACTATGGTAGCTGTAGATCCAGTGTAGACTTCTTCCAGCATGTTTATGTAGGGTTCGTCGATGCCTTGATTCTGTAGTGCCTGCATCACTGCTAATGTCTCGACTGAGTCAAATGCCTTTTCGTAATCTATGAAGGCTATGTAAAGGCATTGGTTGTATTCCGTGAATTTCTCTATCACCTGATTGATAGTATGAATATGGTCCATTATGGAGTAGCCTGTAAGAAATCCTGCTTGGTCCTTTGGTGGATTGAACTCTAATGTCGCTTTAATTCTATTAGCTATTATTTTTGTAAATAGTTTGTAGAGAATGGACAGTAAGCTGATCGGCCTGTAATTCTCCAAGTTCTTGACGTCTCCTTTTTGTGGATTAAAATGATGTTAGTGTTCTTTCAAGATTCTGGTGCCCTTCACATCAAGAAACACTTTGTATATAAGGTGGCCAGTTTTTCTAACACAATTTCTCCGCCATCTTTCAGTAAGTTATACCTTATCCTCACCAGCAGCTATGCCTCTTCGCATTCCTTCTAGGGCTCTACTTACTTCCTCGATTTTTACTGGTAGAACGTCGAATTCCTCTGGGCTATTATTGCTTCTTACAATATTATCCTGATTGTTTCAGCTTCCGTATAGCTCTCTGTAGAACTCCTCCACCACCTCAACTATCCTATCCAAACTGGTCATGACATTGCCTTCCTTTTCTGTTAATACACACATCCCATTTTCACCTTTGCACAAGTTTGCCTTTGCAGCTTTTAGGCTTGTGCCACCTTTTCCAGCCTGCTCAATTCTCTCCATGTTATACCTTCTGATGTCGGCTACCTTACGCCTATTAACTTCTAATGCTCCACTAGCTCAATTTTGTGGGTTTCATTTGAGGCTATCATGGTTTGTTGTTTCTTAATGAGATTTTTCGTTTCTTGGGATAGTTTGCCAGTGTCCGGTCTAGTGACTGTACCTCCAACTTCCATTACACACTCTGATGATACTAGTAAGATTATCATTCATTGTGTCAACGCTAACATCGGTTACCTTGTTTAGAGCCGCGAATCTATTCTGAAGCAAAACTCTGAATTCCTGCATTTTTCCTCTCACCGCCAGTTCATTAATTGGTTTCTTGCGTATCAGTTTAGGCCTTCGCTTTTGTAAATCTAGGTGAATACGAGCTCTTACCATTCTATGGTCCCTGCATCAAACCTTGCCAACTATTTTTACGCCATGTACAATGCCTGGCTGTGCACACAGAATGAAGTCTATTTCATTTTTAGTTTCATCATTAGGAATTTGCCAGGTCCACTTACGGTTAGCCCATTTTCCGAAGAAGATATTCAAGATCCATAAATTATTACGTTCTTTAAACTCTCTTAAAAACTTTCCTATGAGCCAGTGCTGTATTCCCCCAATACATGGTTTCCCGCCTGTTCCTTGTCTACTTTGGCATTAAAGTGGCCCATCAGTCTAGTGTACTGTGTCTTTATTAATTGCTGAATCTACATCTTCGCAGAAGCGTTCAACCAAATGATCATTGTGGCTCGATGTAGGCATACAGGTCAGGGAGTCATAATTGTGAAAAAGCTGAATTCCTGCTTGGCCTGGGGTCATAGCCTTTCATTATAAGTTTAAGCCTGTAGTACACAGTTGTTTAATATATGTTAAAAGAAAACTGTTATGTATTAGCAGAACAAATTCACATTCTACACAGAGCCTGTATTTCATAGAATCCTGTACCCGAGTTTAGAGGTAAAATTTGCCTGTACTGTTACATGACCAGAGTAGATATGACAAATAAAACAATATTACATTGTGAGTGAAAACGGCTCACAATTTGAAAGAGAGTCGCTTTTCTTTTTGTATCAGATATAGTGCAAAAGAATGAGCACATGCATCTACAGTAAACTGAGCATGCAATAAAAGAAATTAGCTGGAGGAAAGTACAGGTTCACGGTGAGGTAAAACGATGTTAGTCAGCAAATGCTATTTGCTACAGCACATGCAAACCAGCATGATGCAGAAGCTCATCTGTCATCAGAGATATGCATACCAGAGGTTCTGGAAAAGAAAAAAGAACGCCTCTAAGCCTGACATATAAGACTATAGTCCAGAGTTTCCATTGCAAATATCTTGGCAGCCTGATAGGCGTTCTGAATCGACAGGATTTGTTTTTATCATCTTTCTGCAGGACCTTCGGACCTAATATTTTTCGACGACATATGTACAAGGCTTAGAACTGATTAAAGCACGCCTGTACGCCCGGTGTGTTTTACCAAAATCAGTCGCAAAGCTTCACTTCAGCCTTAGCCTGCGAGTCTCGTTTCTTGCTTTTAGTAACTGCTTTATTGTAGCTTTTCAATCAGATATTCTTGCAGATCGACGGCGGAACAGTCCACGTGCAGGAATGGGTTGCGGTCGATCGAAATAACACAGAGAGAAAAGGCAAACAAAACAATCGAACCCCCCTCCGCTAATTCATAACTATCCAAAACAGCCTAGCTGCGCCAAATATGTGACGAGAAAGTAGTTTTTTGAACAGGCTCCGTACACCAAACAGTTTCGCAGCTAGGAGTGCTCTCTTGCGCAATAATCGTGCGTTTCGACCGCATCAGCTTACCATTAAGAAAATTCAGACGCTCCTGAGCGTCTATGACGGCAGCCAAGTCGGAATACTCGACAGTCCTGTGATCCTTGCTGTGCTTTAGCGCTTCTCGTGCCAAGAACACCACAAATTTTTCCTGCGTGCGGCAAAAAAAAAAAAAAAAAAGTGAGTTCGCGTAACTGTTGGGCCGCATGCCGCGCAGAGTATCGCACGGTAGACGGGCACTCACCGCAGCTTTCGTGGTGATTTGGACGGCGTCCTGGCCTATGCAAGAGACCTCCGGTGAACTCCGCATGATCATGCGCACTCTGGACACTGGGAAACCAGTCCGGTGTGTCGGGCCCGCTTCCATGATGAAAATTGTAGACCGCAAAGTTTCAGAAGTTGTGCCGACACATTCAGCGTCGTCTGCGCCTTTCCGCGGATTCGCTTTGTTCAATGCATGACCTACTACACTCCTGACCTGTTCAGATAGCGGGGTTCCTATGGGAGCGCGTGTCCCCGCTCTCGTTCAATCGCTCGCCGTAGGTGGCGCTACCTATAACCTGTTCGTCTGCTACTGTGCGGCCGGCAGGAGGGCGACGGACTGATACCATGCGTCTGCTTCTGTGACAAACTGCCTATACGTGTGATTGTTTTTTGCTGAAAAGGCTAACGTGTGCTATGTGTTACATTTTAGTAGTTAGGCTATACTGGTTGATTGACTTCTAAAGCTGTATATTTGCGTAGAAATGTCTTGCTGCATGGTTGTTTTTGCCATTCCAGCCTAAAAAAACTTCAATTTAGTATTCATAAAGCTTTTGACTAATAATGTACTCATTGGTAATAGAATATCAAACTGATTTTAGGTTGTTTAGGACGCGTCAGGTGAAACGCAGTGCCCCTGTTGAGCACTTACCTTGGACACTCGCCCTGGACAGGTGTTACACTTGTAGTCAATTGATAGAAGAGAATAATGCACATACGCCCACGGACGCATATCAAGGAGAGACACAGGAATTGAAGCTTTAACTCTTACTGTGACCTACACAACAAAAATTGTGCGTCAAATTTCGCTACGGGAGTTTGTCTGCTGGAACGGGGAGCGCTGGCCGATGCGCGTTTCTATGATTTTATATGTCCGTGCGATGAGACGATATGGTAAAGGCAGTGATGTGCCTATCGAGGGCAACACATTGCGACCCCAATAAAGTTTTTATCGTCATCATTATCATCATCTTGTCGAGCATAGTTAATAATAATAATAATAATAATAATAATAATAATAATAATAATAATAATAATAATAATAATAATAATAATAATAATAATAATAATAATAATGTTTTATTTTTCATCAATAGTTTGATGAAGGACAGCGGCAGGTAAAAGCTGCTCTTCGAAAGAGGCAGCTTGACATAGGCCCACAGACGCCTTTAGCACGACAGCACTGGCAAACAGTTAGCAATGTTATCTAAGCAACAATTACAAAAATATCAAGTTCAAATTCTAAAAATAAAAATAGCAACCATGATAACAATGTAGCAACTGCAAAGAAATCTTGAAAACTATACATGTGTATATCGTGCAATTGAGTTCGGGTACAGAGTAAGAAATCTATGCCAGCTTTCACATATTTATCAATTAACGTAGAAACTGTGTAGAACAACCTATCTGTGGAGTAGTTTGTTCTCGAAGTTTTTATTTTCCATGTTTCTTTATGTCATGTTTCGAACAAATTATTTGGCTGCAGTTTCGAGAGGTCGTACAAATAATGTCGACTTTCTTGAAATTGACGCCTGACCACCAATGCTAACTTAAAATCGTAGAGACGATGTAGGGGTGGTATTCCAGCCTGTTGAAACAATTCACTTCTGCGAGCATCATACGACCAGTAAAAAATTATTCTAATATACGTCTTTTGCATCAGGTACAGTTTTTGTAAGCGCGTGTTAGTCGTAGTCCTTCATACCAAGAAACAATAAGCAAGATGCCAACAGAACAGTCATTTATAAAGTAAGAATTTTACCTTGTATAGTAGAACAGTTTTGCCACTGTACACCGTGCCCTCTACGCGAGATAACTGACCCAGCACACTGTAAATGCGATCGTTTCAAAGCATATTGCTCGAAAATGTAACTCCAAGAATTTTTATACAATTTACTAACTCAATAATAGTATCGCCATACTTGAAATGTATGTTTTCATTAACAGACTTATTTTTAGGGCGGAATAGTACCGCCTTTGTTGTACTAGTGGTTATGTTTGATTGATAGCGCCCAAGGGCGACACCCGCAGTTGGGGCGCGTACACATGCTGAAAATGTGCCATTATACTCGTTTGTCAATGAAAAGCAGATCCCTCAAAGTGATATCAAGGTTTCTGCTAAAAGAATTTGGCGAGTGTATGCGTGTGATTCGAGCAATGTTACAGCACTTCAAAATGAAACAAAACACATTTGTCGCTTTACTTATGCGTGCCACAATATGCCAGTTAAAGCTGATGTTTCAAACAAAGTTTCTGCACTTTCGAAGAATATCCTACTTGCTGGCACACAGTGACGGCTTGTGTCTGCAATAAAGAAAAACATATGTACGCGTACAGAGCTGCGTGCATTTGGGTCATAGTTCAATAAAATGTGCTAGCAAGGTTCTGGGCGCGTACATGATACAATGGAGGCATGCAACTAAACTTTTAAAATCTTGCGAGATTTTGGCTTTTCGGCTATTCTCTTTCTCTTTCCTTCTTTGGCTGTTTTGTCCCGCACGTAGTTTGAGAAGAAAGGACGGCTAAATTTTTGCAACACTAGCCGCGCCATGGCTTCTCGGTGCTCGCTAGTAGCGCCTTTATGGCTGAAAAGAGGGTTCAAGGCCACTGCAGGTAGCACAGTTTGCACAAAAAGTGCCATCGGCCTCTTTTTGGAAATGGCCAATGGCGCAAATGCTTCCGCGGCCCTTTCTAGAGTGCTCACAAAGGAAAGAAATGAGATCGTTGGGTATGAAAGCCCTCCCCTGTCTAAATTAAATATCACAGCAGTAGCTGGTCCAGATGAGCTGGGAGCCTTGATTTTGCCGATGCAGTCGTCGCAAGTAATGCAATCCTCAGCTGCTTTCACCAGGAAGCCCGCTATAAGGCCAAGCGTGCTGGCCCTTATGCCTGGCTGTGGGGCACCTGTGGGAAGGTAGAAATGAAAAGTGTGCAAGAATTTTATCAGTATATAGATAAGCATGCATGATTAAACCGACACGTGTCCGTATACAAAATATGAGAAATATATATATATATATATATATATATATATATATATATATATATATATATATATATATATATATATAATATATATATATATATATATATATAATATATATAGGATGTTAATGCGCTTTCAGATAACAACTGTTGCCCCACCGCGGTGGTCTAGTGGCTAAGGTACTCGGCTGCTGACCCGCAGGTCGCGGGACCGAATCCCGGCTTCGGCGGCTGCACTTTCGATGGAGGTGAAAATGCCGTAGGCCCGCGTTCTCAGATTTGGGCGCACGTTAAAGAACCCCAGGTGGTCGAAATTTCTGGAGCCCTTCACTACGGTGTCTCTCATAATAATATGGTGGTTTTGGAACGTTAAACCCCACATATCATCAAGATAACTGTTCATTCAGCCGACGTTTGCGTCGGGAGAGCCCCGTCTTTTTCAAGGTATAATAATATTACACATTTTCCGCGTCGATTTATAGCTTGTCACGACAGGAGGGAAGAAGTCCGGAGAATAGTATAAACAACAACATAAAAAAAACTGAGGGAGAAACGTTTAAAAATAAAAAAAAATCTAGGAGAAGAAGCAAGAGAAAGACGACGGGATTAGGAAGGGACAGCATCTCAAGAGAGTAAGGCGAACGCAAACGAGCCATGCCATCATCTGTGTGCCAGTTATGACAGCGATTCAAACCGCCGAAAATTTCTTCCCCGATTGCGGGAAAGGGACGTCGGTTAGTCGAGTTGTGTGGGCGCCTGGTGAAAGCATGTTATATTTTTAAATGTAAGCCATAGTACCTGCTTGTACCATGGACTTATCGTTACATACATACACAGTATAACTGATTGAGAAGCATGTTTTCATCTACATCGTGCACTGACGCAAACGCTGCCTCACGCGGCTTGCATGTAACACAGTAAGCAGCGCAGAGTTTATAATATATGCATAATATCGTATAGTGGGGAATTGTTGGACGGTGTGTAATAATTTTAAATAATGTAAATCATTCCATTACACGGAATCAACGAGATATGAAAAGCGCACCACGGCAAGTCTGCAGGGCTTCTAGATGTGGCCGCATCGTCTGGGTTATAGTAGCAGATGTCGATGCCGCGCACTCGCCTGACGACCCTTGATTCTGGTTTACTAGCGAGTGCATTTCCAGAGGTTGTCCGGCTTGCTTTACTGCTGTGGAGCACGACGCCTGCCTTGCACTGGGCGATCCAAGAGGAGACGTTGTTTGCTCTGTACTGCCGCTTGGTGATGAGTGCATCATTCCCATCACGAGGACTTTCTGCAGTGATGAAAGCGCAGCACGGGCGTCTGTCTGATCGTTGCTTCCTTGAAGCTGTCTGATGGTGGAAAAAAGTGCTTCGACAGGGTCACTGGAGAATTTGGCAGTCAACACGTATAGGAAACCTGAACGGATGAGAAATTGTGTGCACTGTACTGTGGACATTGTGGTCAGTTGGAGAGCTTCGTATGTTTCAAGAGATATGAATGCCCTCTTATGTGGTGCCGCGGCTTCCATGCTGCGAAAAAGGGCAGAAATTCCTGCTCCAGCCATATCACCTGAAAATAAAGCAGTTTATTGTAGAAAATATGAAACCTAGCGGGATAAATGGAATGTACCTGTCATCATCTGGGGAACTGAACGGCATCCTGTTTTGGTCCCGGCTTACTACGTGGAAGGTTGTATTTCTTATGTTGTGTATGGTGAACTATTTAAATATCATTTCCATCAGCTCGATGGTTGGCAGGCAGTCTTCAAACCCGAAAATGCCAAATCTGCGGCCGTATTGTAAGAGGTATCGTAAGGCCGATGTCACCTAGAAACCAAGGAGACGCGACATATTAAAAATGATCGGAATTATTTAGAGAGAGGTTTCTAAGCTTGGACGTTCGTATACAGCAAGTGAGACGAGTTACAAGTGGCACTGCAGTCATCAATAACGTGCACTTTTAAGTGAGTTTGTGTTAGTGAACATATATTTATAGAAGCTCTAATGATACGTAATTATTGTGTGGTAAGCAATACGCGCAGGTACATTCGTTAAGAAAGGGAAATTGTATGTTCAGATAACCATGCGCTGTTAGCAGCAGCAGTAGCAGCAGCTCATGTGCATGTTTTTATGTGACCATACTGATAAATATGTAGCAGTTATATACGTATTGAATTACATTTTCCACCATTTGCTTCCGTTGGGTTCTACAAACAAATAAACCAGAAACTAACATGAATATTCACGTATCGTTTGCGGTGAATTACTATTAAAAGGCAGTTTTTGTACTGCTTCATTTGAACGAAAGCTGCAAAATTTTTTCTGCTTCTGCATGAACATTCACTTGACGTAATATGATGTAAAATGAGTTGTGGCGTAATATTAGCGCATAAAAGTTTGCCCGAGCGCGCCAAAAATTTGAGAAGTATAAACGTCACTACTGATAGAAAACTGCGAGCATGATTCTAGCTCAATTAGATGTATTTTTTTTGTGTAATACAGGTTGCAGGAAGCATACATAATTTACAGCTAACGAAAAGGCATTTCCTGCATGACCTGTGTGCGTCACGCATTGTGATGTCTACAAGGAATACAGAGAATCTGGGAGTGTGTGACACTAACGCTAAATGGTTTACACCTTTTCTTATACATGCCTGTGGAGAGAACACTTCAACGGCCCTCTTCACGCTTAATTTCTCGAAAGTTCGTCGGGTAAACGTCTGCTTCTGCGTAAGTTCCGAACAAGCGTTGAACGACGACTGTTTTTCTGTTATGTCCAGCAACTTTCTCAAATACGTGGGGCTGTAGTAATGCCATTGTTGAAACAGAACGCGTTTGGTGGACAACATCTGGTTGCGGAGATTTTTCAGGATGGTGCAGTGGTCAAAAGAAAGGAAGAGCCTCCGATTCATAGCCATTGGATGTCTGCAACAACAACAAAAAAAAATGAATAAATAAATTGGAGAAGGCGGCGTTTGCGGTGTGAATAATTAGTTGCTATACGGTTTTCTGTTTTTTACCAAAGTAATGTAAATGTTAGCCATTCGAAGGACGTGTGCGTTGTTAATTATTACCTTATTATAAAAATTTCTCCACTCATGCCATGATCCTGCAGGGCTGTGTGTGTGTTTTATTGAGATTACCTACACCTTAAATCTTCCGAAACTTTAAGTATACTCACCCATTCATACAGTCGCATGCAGGTGCGCATACATTACGCAAACGCGTAACGTCAATTGATTTGTAAAGACGGGCTATTTACCAGCGCTTTGTACTGTTGATAGCAATCTGTTATGGACACGGCTTTCTTATATGCAGCGCTGATTAAAAAAAAAGAAGGGGGGGGGGGGGCTCTGATGCTGATACAGGCTTTTTTTTTTTGTGCGACCAAGTCTTTTGTTTTTTTTCACTCAAACACGGCATGCATGCGCGTGCATACTATGATTGATAGATATGTGGGGTTTAACGTCCCAAAACCACCATATATTTTGAGAGACGCCGTAGTGGAGGGCTCCGGAAATTTCGACCACCTGGGTTCTTTAACGTGCACCCAAATCTGAGAACGCGGGCCTACAACATTTCCGCCTCCATCGGAAAAGCAGCAGCCGCAGCTGGGATTCGATCCATGCATACATTGAGGGCACACTGCGAATACATATAAAAACAATATTTACACTAGGCATTGCGCACAGCTTAATGCGAGCTGAGAGCAAAAATATATACTTAGCAAGCTTACGGCACAACTGGCATCATACGACCATTCCCTAACATGGTGAACATCTTTTTGTTCGAAGCGTGGTTGTCAGCTACAAGTCGGACCACTTGGAATCCTGCTTCTTCGATGGACTTAATTACTTCAAGTGTTAGTTGATGCAGGTGGTCTCCTTTTACTGACTGCGTGAAATATATCCCACGGGTAGCCTGAAAAAGATAAAAATTAGCAGTATTCTGTAGCGTCGGTGTCAGCTGGGCTTAAAATCTCACTCCGTTGGAGAGAGGAGGAGAAGCCAATTGCTCATCTCGAGTGCTTGTCAAATAAGTGCACAATGCTAAAGTTGACTTGCCGGGGGAAAGGGGGGGGGAGCCGCTCCTTAAATAAATAGAAGACGACTCCCCCTGCCCCTCTCCCCGACTTTCAGCCCTGGTCGCGGAATAAGCACAATCATGGTAATTAAAGAACAACGTTTTCTTTTTATATCTATAGGTGGGGTTAGTCTGTCAGTCACAGCGAAACGTATAGTGATAGACAAAGTGATGATTCACTTACGTGTAGTGCGTTGATAAGCCTAACAAATACAAAGGCGAGAAGGTGTGTGGCCAGCTCGTTCTGAATGCCCACTTCTTTTTCTTAGGCCATCCCATTTCGACTAGGCCATGGACTTGTCTCCTTTTTTTTCGTACGTCAGTGCTTGCTTAAAGACATTTCATCCACAATCAAGAGCCCCTATTTTTCCTAACAAAAAAATGGGGGGGGGGGGGGGGCGGAATTCACTGTTAACAGACATGCGTTATATATCGGCGGAGACAGTTAATTATATAAATAACCTTCTTTGTTGTTCCGTACATGACCCCTAATTTAACAGAAATGATTAGGGTTTAGAGCAAACATAGCGCACTGCCGTATACTCTTAAACAATACATCTTACGTTCGAGTAATCCTGCCACAGGTCTGGTCCCTGTTTATTCACTTTAAATCACTTTTCATTCGGCTATACTAGCATGTATTTGATCAGTCAAACACTGCCGCGTGCGCTGCTCCTTCGTTATTCGCGTGCATATTGTAAATAATTCTGATCGAAGTAACGTACCCGTTCGGACAAGTGTGTGCTTTCCGTGTGCAGCCTTTGCTTCATTAGCGACGAAACAACTGCTCCAGTACAGTAGCCAATGTAACGCTTCAGTGTCATGCGACTTGGAAGGGTGAGGCACCCAGACCTCCGCAACATTTCGTACCCGCAGGGGGATTTAGCTTGCCACATTATGGCCTGCCTGATGGTCACCTCTTTCCAACGGTGATTTTTCTCACGCAGGGCATTGCAATTGCTCCTTCAAAAATTCAGCCTTCTTGTCGTTCTCGTCCAGCATTTCCTGATGATGAAAGGGCAGTTGAAATGCGTAAATCACGCGCAAGATAACATACTGGAAGAAAGCGGAAGTGCAGGGAGAATGGAAGCTTGACCCGCTGAAACATCGTAGAGCAGGGAATGCCGGCGCATCCAACAATTCGACATTTACGTACTGGACTTGCACCTTGTCAAGACAAGTTTAGATGTTGTGGGAGAGTGAGCCAAACGTTCACACACACGCTACTAAAGGAGGCTGTTGCTGTCTGACAAAGAATAGTGCACCTGATTGTCGAAACCTTGCATTTGGCATCATTCCTTATTCAACAATTCATAATCGCGAGAAAAGATATGCGTTTACTCTTAAGACAATAATAGATGTTTTCATGTCACCACGTGGACATTCAATTGCAGCTATGCTACATTAATGAATTGCGCAACTTCAGACTTGCGTCATGTTCAGTAAACCGGCCACCGACTCACACATACGGACTAGCGGAAACTGTTCACTTACACTTTCCAAACCATTCCTTCCTTTTTGAATGCAATGCGGCTCGCTCAAGTTTATAAGGCAGACATCACATGTGCGTCAAGCGTGGCTTCCTGTACGAGCATAAACCGATCGGCCCATAGCAACCAACACAACACAGCTTGCAAATTACTGTCTTTCCAGTTGTCAGTCCAATGTCCCTAATTGTTTGCGAACGACAGAAATTTGAACTCGTTGTTCGCAGGATAAAGGAAATAAACTCGGGGTGCGCCAATCACGCAAGGGGGTACACACCGACCTTCGTATCTTAAACACTTGCTCATGTGCGCGCTTACCCACCAACCTGCTTTTATTCCGTGTCCTTATGTCAGGCCCTACACCTTCGTATGACCAGAAAGATTGCCAGCATCGGCGTACACTAAAATGTCACGTAAATTATATGAAGAAGAAAATCTATAAACAGAGTTTCTCTCGAGCAGACATCATGACAGCGGACTTGTCATCCTTAAGGCTATAATTGTATTTCAGTCTTTCAGAAAACAAGCCTGCTTGTCGAAACGCCGCCTCGAAACAACTTTGCTAAAACTACTGATTAAGCGAGTTGGTTTCATGATTATTTCAGTGTTTGTGTGTGTGTAAACAGCGATTAAAGAATGGGAACAACCCCTGTTCACAGGTTTTTTACTGCAAGCTTCCATCCTCCCCTTTCTGACGTTTCTTACAAAAAAGTATAGGGACACTAAGTTAATAGACTGATAAATGAGTACCTGATAATTCTCTATCGTTCTGTTCCGATCATACGACTATTAGAACAGAAAAAATTAAGACTAGGTTTAATGTTCTGAGTTTGGCGAACAATCTTCGACACGTGCACGTCGCTTTATGTTGCGTCGCTCCTTGTGTACTTGGCCGCATTGGCTGAGAACATTTCTTTGAAACTTGCTACTTCAGACCTTGCATCTACT